TTGTCTTGATTCCTTCGAGAAGGAGGCAACAGAATGTGCTTGATCTCAACAATGTCTGGATGATGGAGGAGTCTCAGAAGTTTGATTTCACGAAGGATGCGGGTAGCATCTGAAACATGTTCAAATATGTCATTGATTTTTTTAATTGCAACCTTTTCTCCAGTATGCGTATCATATGCAGAGCAAACAACACCGTAGCTCCCTTTACCAATTACTTCTTCTATTCTGTACCTACTTCCTTCACCATACTCTGTGAAAAAGTCCACATCTACAGTAGACTGCATCACAAATATAAAACATGTCACGTGATTGACATAACACCAAATGTAAATATCGCATCAAAGAAAAGCAAATACTCAATACAGCTTCAACTCCAATATAAACAGCAATTCAACCATTGTAAACATATTCGGTATCACAAAGAGAGAATATTTAGGCCTAACACCTGCTGAACTAATTCCAGATGAATGATTACTTTAGATAGACACATCAAATATTTCATCATTCCATGAAAGCAAACTATACAAACAATACTCGGTTTCTAGTTGCCCTCAACACAACAAAAAACCAAAGTTCAGATACTATCGGAAAAGATGTCTGCACCATTAGATGGAGCAAAATCTCTTACAACGATTCTGCAGTAAAATTGGGATACAAATAACTTAGTCAAACACCATCACCATGTAGACATCAGAATTGGTTGCTCATGGCAGGTGCATCAAACTAATGTTCTAGTGCTATCAAAAGAAGATTATATATATATATATATAAATATATATATATATGTACTATGTATGTAAATATCTCCCATGTCAATAAAATTACAAGTTTACGGTTAATAAACCCTGAACAACAAGCCGAGAAAACTACAAAAGGGCAGCCTTCTGCTGGGACCTCCACTCCCACAAATTCGCGAAGTGGGGTCATAAGCACGTGGCATAGGGAGAGATTAGGCATGAACATGACAAGCTGTTCATTCCCATCCAGAATACAGGAATTACACCAGCACAACACAACACAAAAAAGGATCCACTACTTTGGACCACAGAAAAACAAAAACATATCTATGAACATAAGGATGAAATTTAATAAACAAATGCCAGGAAAATATATCAACAGAAGAGACAGACTTCAGTTTAGATTCACATGAAAAAGAAACATCACAAATACCAATCAGATCTTTCGTCAAGAACAACGACTTTATAAAATTTTATATTTCATTACCTTTCTACGCTGATCAGGCTGCATCACTAATTGAAAGAAAGCGAACTCTCAGAACTCTTCAAAGCAATAACTGAAAGAAAGCGCTCAACAGCCACAATTAACCCAGTAAAGCAGAACTCAACTTCCACTGAAATAGGAAAGTATCCAGGAGAGAAACCAAGCTCAATTCATCATTAATTCAAAAACCCTCATTCTGAAATCCAAAGAAGAGGCAGAAAAGAAGATAAAACGTTGAGCAAAGAAGAAGCAAAATTTAAGGAGTATTTTCTGGGGTAGAAAAAAGCACGCAACTTTTGGACAAAAAAGAGGGATTATACTTGAATATGTTTCTTTTTTAAGTCAGAGAACAGCCAAAGGAAATGACGGAAGGGTCTAAACGCAGCTGGAAGACAGAATTTGCAGATCGATGCTCTTAGTTTTTGTCAGCGGAGAAAGCTAAAATCTTGGAGAGTCTTCACTCTTAAACAAGGCGATGATCACTATTTCTCCTGCTCAGTATAGAACAAAAAGTTGCATAAGGAAAAAAAAAAAAAAAAAAAACCAAAACTTGAAGAAGAAAAATGAGTTTTTTTCCGGAAAATTTCTTGGGGCTTTTTTGGATCTCACACTCAGATCCACAGAGACAGAGATAATACAAGAAAATCAAGTGGTGTGCTTCAAGTTGAAGGCTTCGTTCTTTTGGGTAGCGGAGAGAGAGAGAGAGAGAGAGAGAGAAACAATAAGGAGACGAAAGGGAAGAGCAGTAATTTTATTTTAATTTAATAAAGTTATTAAAACGTGAGATGGAAAATGATATATGATTATGATTTTGATATTGAAAAGTCGTATCTGCCCCTCATTTTTTACTAAATCTACAAACCACCCTAAAAAATTCATGTTTTTATTGGTACATTTTTTTCAATATATTTTATTTTCATTCAACATTTAATATTAATTATCATAATTCATAAAAGCTCAGGAGGATTTATACACACTTCTTACATAATTGAATTAGATATATCCTTATCCTCAATCACATATTAATAAACTCGTATCTTCACTCATCAAAAAATAATTATTAAAATATTATTATTTTCAAAAATATACAATTAATCTATATACTATTTAAATCGACTTTATATATATTTTTTCGTTCGCTCTTTTTTTTTTCTTCTTATCATTCTTTTTTTGTATCTCAAACTTTAAATTTTATGTTTTCAATAACAATCAAAATGTGTCTAATTTAAATTCTATTCTAATTAAAAACTCTTATGATTATAGATGATCTAATTATAAAATATCATAAATATAAAATTTTCTCTCCTCTTTTTTAGATAAGAAATATAGAGTTTTTTCCCTTCCTTTTTAAACCATAAATATAGAAGATTTAATTATAGAATATCAGAAATATAAAATTTTTATAAGAATAATTTATATGTTATATATGGTAGTTTTAGTCTTCATATATTTATTTATTTTATTTAATTATTTTACTTGTTGTTTATAATAAATAAAAAAAATATAGTCTTTCGCGAGGACTACTTATAATAGAAAGGAGGGAGAAGATAAAAGCTTCATGCATTGAGGTTTCTCATTTTTTTTTTGTCCTCCACGTGGTGTTTACATTGTATCCATGTGCCATTCAAGTATTAAAAAAAAAAATTAAAATTAACTCAAATGTCGTGCATGCACAATCTAAATATCGTTAGTTACTTGTTTTTAATGACGAAAAACTTATTTGAATTATTATTTAAAGTACATTAACAATTTGAATAGAAAAAAAATTATATGTGTAACGACTCCGAAAATTTAAAATGAAATGTGTATTAAAAATTTCAAATGCGGAAGCGAAGTCAAAATTTCGATTAACATCCCTTACACTAAAACCAAAAACGTGCTCACAAAATGTAACGGCCCCGTAAATATTAAAATGAAATGAGTATTTAAATATATCGAATGCGGAAGCGAGATCAAAATTTCAGTTAACATCCCTTACATGAAAAACCCAAAAACGTACTTAAAATATAAAAGGTTAAACTAACTAAGAAAGAAACTCGAAAATAAGCTATGCGTATGACTACAGAGTCTCTAGGCATCCCCTTCGTCGTCCTCCTGCGGAACGGGCTCGGGAACCATGTCTTCCTGATCTGAAATGGTTAATTAAGGAGTGAGCTACACTAGCCCAGTAAGAACATCACGATATCTCACCGTCACGGAGATAAAGGTGGGTAGAAAAACACAAAAAGACCAATGGAGCATAATTTACAATAAACTCGTTTATTAACATGAAAACCTTTACCATCCACTTACCTTGGTGGAATTTATGAAAACAATATGAGAAAAACAATAACATCATCATAATCATTGAATAATCTAAGCTGTAAAACATAACACTTATCACGCCTCTTGTAATTCAATCATTGTACAACATATCTTTTTCTCATTTACCAGTCTACTAGTATCCGTGGGGGTCCATAGGGGTTCCGCTACCCGTTAACCTTTAACATTCATAATCAGTTTCCAGGGCCGTCCCCATACCCCGTCCGGTATGGGCGCCAAAACCATGAACCTCAATACCCCGTCCGGTATGAGGGTGAAACGGGCCGTCCCCATACCCCGTCCGGTATGGGCGCCAAAACACATAAGGTCTCCATACCCCGTTCGGTATGAGAGACCATAATCCCGGTAGGGTTCCCTACGGACCCGGTCCGTCCACCATCTCCCAGGATATCTAGTCAGGCTGACCACATTATACAATTACCCATTTACATAATCTTTCATTCTCTTTTCCCTCAGTCAGCATCATCAATCCACATACAAACAAGCAAAATGGTAATTTATGCCAAACAGACAACATACAGCATCAATATCCCAGTCATTCAATCCATAATCAGTAAAACAGTAAAATATGCACACAAAATTATAAAATGAAAACATCAAACCTCATGCTGCATTTAAAACTGTAAACAGGCCAAATAACAGTTAACCGATAAACACACTAGACTCGGGCTCCATTAGCGACCTTAAGCAATTTCACACATTCGCTGACTCAAGAAATACTGTTTTATCATTATTGAACTTTAATACCGTGATAGGAGATAGGGTGAGGGGTCCTTACACGTTTCGAGGTCCGAACACGGCTTCACAGTGCGCCTACAGGCTGTCCCTAATTTTCTCTGAATTTTTTTTCCGGGGAACTGAAACGCACTACTGGTACCTGCACGTGTTCCAAAAAATCCCAAATTAGGCCCAGGGCCCCTTTTTGGCCAATATCGCAATTCCGGCACGACGGCTCCGCCGTGCTCCGGCGACGGCGCCGCCGCTTGCGGCGGCGATTCGCCTCGGTTTGGCCGTTTTCGGCCGTTTCCGGCCGAATCCGGTCACACTTGCATCGATCCTTGCGATTAAACAACTCTAGGGTCCTCGGGGGGCCAAAAAATTACGAAAAACCGAAGCTTAACGGCGGCGGTGCTCTCGGGTGCGGCGGCTCTCCGGTGAAGTTCATGTTTTGGTGATTCGGCTCCGATCAACCTGTAGAGAAAAGAATGGTGATCACGGTGATATAAAAATTGCATTAAACGGAGGCCAGGAAGGGCCTCATCGGAGGCAAAAACCGAGGAAGGGTGCGGCGGCGCCGCTGGGTTTCGATCGTGTTTTTCGGCCGTTTGGCCGGGATTTTAGCTCCGATTTAGCCACAGGGGAAATAAGCGTGAAAAAACGAGTCGGGGTTATGAAATTTACCTCGATCGGCAGTCGAAAATCCCTCCGGGTGCGGCGGCGGGTAGCGGCAGCCGGCTTCTGGTTCGTCTTCTCCGGCGAGGGCAGGCGGCTAGGGTTTTGTGGTATGGTGTAGGGGTCTTATTTATACCCTTTTTGCCTTTTGATCTCAGCCGTCCATTTTGATTTAATCTGGGCCGTCCGTTTTTTATTGAATCTGGGCCGTCCGTGCGATTGCATCTGGGCCGTCCGATCGCACGCTTGATCTGGGCCGTCCGATCGTGCGTACGCGGATCGCCAACGTGGCCCGTCCCAGATCGACGTGGTCTTGCCACGTGGCAGGTCCCGATTGGCCGGGACTGCTGACTGGGTCTGCTGACGTGGCCCTTTTTTTTTTTAATTTCCCGGGCGCTACAACTCTCCCCTCCTTAAAGAAATTTGGTCCCCAAATTTGCCTCGTTACTCTTGATCGAACAGATGGGGATATTGGGTCCTAAATTCTGATTCCAGTTCCCAAGTAGCCTCCCTGGGCGTGTGGTTCTGCCACACGACTTTTACAAATGATATTTTTCGGTTGCGGAGTATTCTGCTCTCTCGGTCCGTGATACCGACCGGTACTTCTTCATAAGACAAGTCCTCTCGGAGTGGAAGCGGTTCATGAGCCAAGACATGAGAAGGGTCCGGATTGTACTTACGTAGCATAGATACATGAAACACATTATGAACCCGGGAGAGCTCAGGAGGCAGTGCAAGTCTGTAGGCAGTGGTACCAATCTTGTCTAAGATTTCAAAGGGTCCATTATATCTGGGGTTTAATTTTCCCCTCCTGCCGAACCTACTAATTCCCTTGAAGGGGGTGACTTTAAAAAACACCCGGTCGACATGGTTTTGCCACGTGGCAGGTCCTGGTTGGCCAGGACTGCTGACTGGGTCTGTTGACGTGGCTGCTGAAGTGGTATTTTTTTTTAATAATAAAAATATTTAATAATAAAATAATAAATTTTTTTTTTCAATTTTCCGGGCGTTACAATATGAATTTATTTGAATATTTTTTTAATAATATACATGAAAATATTAAATATAAATTGAATCTTAAGTTATTAGAATTAAAACATTATATTCATTAAAAAAAAATTATTTGTATTTTTATAAAATCAAAATTTGAATAAAAAAATATTAATTTTTAATTTTTATTTCTAATTTATGATTCACAAGATATCACTATGTTGCAAATGGATAGAATTCCTATTTGTGTTTCTGAAATATACCCGACATATAAAATAAATATTAATTTTGATCATTATCATGAGTGTTATTATTTTAATTGAGGTATCATATTTTATAGTAAATTTTTTAATATCTTATAATATAATATACTTCTTTTGTAGTTTGTATTCAAAAAAATATAATAATAATAAAATTTTCGGGTTTAAAATTATCTGACAAACTAATTTTGATTTTAATTATCGTAAGAAATAATTTCTTCTAATTATATATTGTTTAGATTTTAAAAGAGTTAAATTTGTTGATTATCCATTTTGACATTTTGCAAAGTGAAAAAAGTTATTAAAATGAAAAATTGAATTATTTAAATGATAAGTAGCTAGTGTACATTTATAAATAAATTAATTTTTTGTGAAGATTTTAATTTTTCACGTGTGCTATGTTTTTTTATAAATAGGTACAAAAACATTATTATAAAATTGTAAACTATACCTGATATGAATTTTTATAATTACTATTAGGAGTAAGTTATTTTTTTTTTCATTGCATTTCGTTCACGTAAAAATATTACATTATCTAATTTTTATATTATAAATACACAAATAAATAAATAAAAAGAAACTACGTAAATTATTATTACTATAATCGACTATGAAAAAAGTTTGAAATTCTAAATTAAAACAAGTTTAAGATAATGTTTAATCCATTAAACATATCCAATAACTAAAATTAACTTTAATTATTATAAACTAGTTTATAATATTTAATTATGTAAAATTAATTATTTAATTTATTAATATATTAATTAAATTGGGGTAATTTAT